GAAAAATTTAATCCAGTCATTTACCCACATATCTCCGAAACCGTTGGACCCAGAGTAAAATCCCAGAAGACTATTTATGCGCAAAATTAACCGATCTATAAAAAATGCCTTTTAACATACTCCCCTCAGACCTCTCATCACCGAGATAATCACCCAATAAATTCACCATTCGTCACGAATGCTATCGTCAATCGTTAATTGTTCGATTGTCTCGATGACAAGTGAAATTACGACAAAACATCAAAAAACGATTTCAGTGCATCTCAAAATTCCCCACAAAAAGTGTCTCTGGACATTTTCCCCCAACTCCCCTCCCTCCAGAGAAACCCCCAAAAAACGCCTGCCAATCCATTCTCTCATCAATAAAAAATTCTCCTTTCGCCCCTTAATCCCACAATTACCCTCAGAAAAATAAAAGATAATGAGAAGAGAGGGAAGGAAACAGAAAGAGCCTTAAAAATACACCCCATAAATATCCAGCCAAAAAAAACACTGATTAATCCTCAACATAATTGTTTTTCTCATCCATTTATTGGTTGTATTTTTTAATAATTTTTATCATCGAGGCAATTTAAAATTATAGGGAAGGGGTCACACTGCCCAAAACATTATTTCTTTTATACAGAAAAAACTTCGACATACCATCTTTTATTTAATTTTCACCATTAAACTCCTACCCTCTTCTTCTCACCTATCTTTCACCCTTTGTCATTAATTCCCACTCATCGTTGGTGATTTCAATATTTCAATCGATTGATTAATCAAAGCATTTACCGCTCACCGAGCGTATCAACATCATCACCACTCCTCGATATATTATCCAAAATAAATTCCCATTACGCTTGCTAACGCGAAAATCTCCATTATCGAGCTGACTGGAAACCTTAGGAAGGGGAGCAAAAATAAAAAGGTTAATAAAAACACCAAAAAATCATCTAATTTTTCATTTTTCCTCTTTAATTATTATGCTGTGTTGCATTTTTATATGCTACAAACATCGACATCCAGCCTGAACTATTTTTGGACAGCATTTTCTCTATACATTCTCACTCTCTTGTCGCTCGTCCTCAACTCCATAAATCCACATCCTCCCATCATCAACGAGATTACTCCCTCGGAATTTATAAAAAAATATCAAATCACGAACATAACTGAAGATAATAGAGACAATTAATAGTGTTTTTTTTTATTACATAATTTTTCATTTGTATTCACTTTAGTTCTCACGTTCCTCTCCAACTAATATAACGCTATTATTATTATCGTTAACATTAAGGCATTACATATTTATAAATTCTTCATCACTCGATCACTATACAGCAATACCACGCTAAAATCGTTAACTTATATTTGTAGACGTGAGATCGCTCGTTGCAATAGTCCAGGCTTAACAGAATTCAATGATGATTACATACATCGCAGATTGGAAATCAGCAGCTAAAATCATGACTGGAGATAAGTCCTTTTGTCTCCGAAACTATCAAATTTAAGGGGAAATGTCATAAAGCATTTTTTGTAGAGAATTTCAAGAGCTTCAAATAATTCTTTATGACATTTTTCGATAAACCCAAGTTTTCAAGATATTGCCGAAATAGTGGAGACGAAATTTGTGGTTTCATCGCCTCTCATAATTTCGCTCTGAAAATGAATAATTTCAGTGAAAAAATCCCAGAAATTCAATCATCAGTAGCTCAACAGCTCAATCGTCAAATGGCAAATGAAAATAACACTAATGTGTAAGCGTTTCACCTCAAGATTGCAAAAATATCTCCCCTTTTTGGATTTCTTTTAGTGAATGAAAATCGAGGGCTCATCGTTTCTGGAATTTTTTCAATGACCAAGCGACTCATTCACTCAATCAAAATGACCATCCACTCCGAGTTTCGTCATCTGTAGTTATCGCATTTGTCGATAAATTAGACACACTCGCCGAGGCAACGTAGTAACACAGACAGGCGGACAGGCAGTATCACGGGAACATTGTTTTACTTTTTTTGGTTTGAAAGTGATCTTGTGTTTCATTTCTCGGTGTGATCTCCGCGAGGGAAATTTGCGATGAAAAATTCTGGGCGCGGTAAGTTTATCGGTGAGTTCCATCTCATTCGATTTTTCATCACTTTTGTCATTGATGAGACGGACTAAATGATAACCGACTTCACAATTTTCAAACTGCAAAAAATAATGAACAAAACGAGAAATAATTTTTCAATCAAAAATCGTCAGTTCTCTTCATGGAAAAATTACTGAATTTTCGTTTTAATCAGCATGAAGGATTTTTATAATTGTCTTCGTATTAATCAATGACAGCGCTACCATTATTATGCATGTTGACTGTCCATGCCCGTAGTCAGTCGTTTTTTCTAAGAAAAGATAATTACCGTAAAATGTTTTTGTTTCAATCAGAAAAAATTGGATAATTAAATTTACTTAGTCGAGGTAATTAATTATATTCATCTGACAAATGGGGAAAATGTCAAATCTCGTGTCCTCCTCGCAATTTCATGATTATCTCGGAAACTACTGGATTTAGAGAAAAATGTTAATAAACATTTTTTCTGGGAAATTTAATTCTCTATAAAAAGTGTCTTCTGACATTTTCCGCTGGAACCCCTCACTAACGAGATAATCTCGAATCAGCATAAGTCCAATTGTCATAAATTGTTTAGAGACTCGTTAATTGTTGAATCATCTCGTTAACGAGTGGTTCCAGAGGAAAATGTCAACAGACATTTCCTCCTGAGCCCACTCGTCACCGAGATAATCCTAAAAACTCGACAAATTCGTCTTGCTAATATCAAGGACAATAAAACATACACAAATTGAAATCAACAAACGCATAAACAAGTTATCGATGTTGAAAGAATGTTTTAGTGTCACGTGATGAGGGCAGAGGACTCCTGTCCAGTGTTTCCCAGCAGAAATTTCCCTCAGTCACAAGTGAAATAACTATCATTTATTAAAAATGAAAATAAATTTTTCCTTCAAATGTTAAAAGGTTTCATTTCAATTGCTGATGATCAAGAACGATAGATAATGTGGATTTTTTCGATGCCGCGAGCAGAAGAAAAATCATAAAAATTGTTTACTCGGACGAAGAATACTGAATAATGATTTAGAATTTTCATTACATCTGCAGAGTTTAATAAAGAAATATAAAAAAATATTCACCTTCCCTGATCCTGCACTCGATCCACTTGTTATTTTCCTTTAGTTTTCACAGAGATTCATTGGAAATTCGTCGACACATTTTTTTGACTTCCATCGGTGGAGTTTTTTCATTTTTTATCTAGTTTTAATTATTATAAAAACGTATTTACACTTTAAAATGGAGGAAAGAGATTTATAAGAGGAATGAGAAGATTTGTGTCCAACTAGACATAAATGGCACTGATCCTTGAAAAAAGAATAAAATGAACAAATTCGAGAGAAAATGAATTTACTGACGAAAGAGTAAACAAGGAAGCCCCCAGGAAAATTGCCAGATGACGTGAAACCCCCTAAAAATGATAAAAGAAAATCAGATAAAATCTAGGATCAAAATTGTGGTTCAACGATCGAGCATCCGTTCCAAATTGATACACCCCAATAATAATTTTGCAGACAATTGACAAAAGAATGCAACTCGAAAAATTTAATCCAGTTATTTACCCAAATATTTCGGATACCGTTGGACCCAGAGAGAAATCCCTGAAGACTATGCGCAAAATTAACCGATCTACAAAAAATGCCTCTTGACATATTCCCCTCAGACCTCTCATCACCGAGATAATCACCTAATAAACTCACCATTCGTCAAGAATGCTATCGTCAATCGTTAATTTTTCGATTGTCTCGATGACGAGTGAAATTACGACAAAACATCAAAAGACGATTTCAGTACATCTCAAAATTCCCCACAAAAAGTGTTTCTCGACATTTTCCCCCAACTCCCCTCCCTCCGGAGAAACCCCCAAAAACGCCTGCCAATCCATTCTCTCATCAATAAAAAATTCTCCTTTCGCCCCTTAATCCCACAATTACCCTCAGAAAAATAAAAGATAATGAGAAGAGAGGGAAGGAGACAGAAAGAGCCTTAAAAATACACCCCATAAATATCCAGCCAAAAAAAAAAAAACACTGATGAATCCTCAACATAATTGTTTTTCTCATCCATTTATTGGTTGTATTTTTTAATAATTTTTATCATCGAGGCAATTTAAAATTATAGGGAAGAGGTCACACTGCCCAAAACATTACTTCCTTTATACAGAAAAAACTTCGACATACTATCTTTTATTTAATTTTTACCATTAAACTCCTACCCTCTTCTTCTCACCTATCTTTCACACTTTCTCATTAATTCCCACTCATCGTTGGTAATTTCAATATTTCAATCAATTGATTAATCAAAGTATTTACCTCTCATCGGATGTATCAACATCATCATCGTTCCATCGTTATACCGTATAAAATGAATTCACATTATGCCGACTAACACGATAATTCGCTTAATCAATTAAACTATTAATCGTAATAATATTAATATTATCAATTTTTATAGTAATCATATTTACAAATTACTAATGCTATTTTTCCTGTCTCATGGTCACATGGTACATCCGTCCACATGTTATTATAATTATCTTTTTACTATATAAAATAGTAGGTATTGGTTACAAAGACGGTTGTGAGTTTTATGATGTTTTCTTTCATTTATTCTCAATTTATGTTTATTTATCGGGGGTAATTTTGAATGAAGAAAATTGTGGGTTGTCTCTTTACTGTCATTTGTACGTTATAATCGCTTGTGGGGGATTAATGCGAGTTCTGGGGTATTTCTGAGATTTTTTGTCATAATATATGGGTTAATTGATGAAAAGGAATTTTTTTTCGCGAATTTCTTGAAAATTAACGAGTTGGGGGGGGGGNTTCATCATCAATGAGACGTACTAAATAAAAACCCACTTCACAATTTTCAATTACAAAAAAAAATGAACGAAAAAAATGAACAAAACGAGAAATAATTTTTCAATCAAAAATCGTAATTTCTCTTCATGGAAAAATTACTGAATTTTTGTTTTAATCAGCATAAAGTATTTTTATAATTGTCTTCGTATTAATCAATGACAGCGCTACCATTATTATGCATGTTGACTGTCAATGCCCGTAGTCAGTCGCTTTTTCTAAGAAAAGATAATTAACGTAAAATGTTTTTGTGTTTTAATCAGAAAAAATTGGATAATTAAATTTACTTAGTCGAGGTAATTAATTATATTCATCTCACAAATAGGGAAAATGTCAAATCTCGTGTCCTCCTCGCAATTTCATAATTATCTCGGAAACTACTGGATTTAGAGAAAAATGTTAATAGACATTTTTTTCTGGGAAATTTAATGCTCTACAAAAAGTGTCTTCTGAAATTTTCCGCTGAAATCCCTCATTAACGAGATAATCACCAATCAACATAAGTCCAATTGTCATAAATTGTTTAGACACTCGTTAATTGTTGAATCATCTCGTTAACGAGTGGTTCCAGAGGAAAATGTCAACAGCCATTTCCCCCTAAACCCCCTCACTACCGAGATAATCCCAAAAACTCCACAAATTCGTCTTATTAATATCGTCATAACCAATTATTTCATCATCACGCATCATGACACAAAAATGACCAGATTGACGATTAAATTTTACATTCGTAACGAACAAAAAAACATACATAAAGTGAAATGAATAAAACGTAAATAAATCAATCGGTCCACACAGTCATTTCGTTCTTTTACATCATCAAAAATCTCTCATTGATGTTTTTCAATTTTCAAAAAATCTTGCCCCAACGACACGCTCACACTTCTATTTATCATTATACCTAGCATGCTTAGAAAATATTTGAAAAACGAGTCTATGGAAGGGATCAGCTGTTGATTAATCACCTCTCACAATTAATAAATCCCCTCCTAGTGTTATTAATTCGTCACTGTACACTTTATTCCATCTCTTCCATTTCAATCATCATTTTATTAATTAAAAGTTCATAATTTCGTCAATTTCCACTTGTCCTCATCATCTTCACCAGCTACAACTGCCCATTACCATTATCAGACTAGACATGTACAACAATTACCGAGGATTTAAGATATTCAATCCCTCAATCTTTAAAAATTATCTCTCATTTGTTGCAATCTAGGTACCAATGACCACTGTCAGTCTTCAGGCTCGACTAAGTCTAACTGTTTTTATTTACTGGCCAACCATGAATCCTCAGGGTCACGGTCATCTCGAGTCCCCACGTGTCTCCATCAATTTTATTACTAAATCGCTGAATCATTGATGACAACTGACAATTTTCGTTGTTGCCCCCTAAAAGTGCAATTATCTCCGAAATCACTGGGTTTAGAGAAAAATGTCATAATACACTTCTTCTGAGAAATTCAATTCTCCACAAAAAATATTTTCTGACATTTTCCCCCAAACCCACTCGTTCCCGAGATAATCGCCAATTAACAAAAGTCAAAAACGAAAATCGCCAGTTTTTCCTTTAATTATTCTTCTTTCATCATCATCTCCACTCGAATAAATCAAAACAAAACGGTAAATTAAATTTTTCAGCCATCACAATACAACTGAAGATGAAAGAAAATTAATTAAACGCTTAAGAAATGAGTGGAACCATTTGAAAAACTAAATTATAAACGGTCACACATTCTTTATCGGCTTATAACAATTAATAAAGACTCTACGACGATGTCGTATTGACAACATAAAACAACAATTACCTAATAATTCGCTAGATTTTTATTTTTCATCGATGAGAGTCGTTCTCAATGGCAATTTGAGAATTTTTTTTAATCTTTTGAACTTGTTAATGTTTTATGGGACATTGACGCTCACCATTAACGACTCATCATTTATTTTTTAGAGGAGAAAGAGACACGAGACTACACGTGGATTGTTCTCGGTTGCTTGCAAGGCAGCTGGGCATTATGTGGACATACGTCGATGATTTTATCGGGTATTTGTTGATGAATCAAGTGTGGTGGTTACCTCCTGTCACGGTACAGAAGGTAAGTCTTCATGGCCTGGGGCAAATTTAGGTCTTGAATTCTTTCGAGTCGGTGTTTACCGATTCTTTGGCGGATTACTCTTCGACAGAGGTCCATCAGAGGCAGAGGCTCGGCTGAAAATTGAGGAAAATGAAAATTACTTTGAGTTTTTAACATTTTTGATGAAGAAATTTTTTTTAAAATTATTTTTGAAGTTGCTGTTTGGGATTTTTTTAGAAGGAGTGGATTGAGGGGATGTGTCAGGAGATTTTATGAGCAAAAAGTGTCGCCTGACATTTTTTATAAATTTAATAGTGGTTTTTAGAGATTTAGAGAAAATTGAGAGACTAATTTCAATTTTTTTGTGTCAACTCTTGATTATTGAATTTGTTTTGATAATATTTCAATTGTTGATAGTAGTATGACATGAAAAAATAGAAGAAGAGAATAGCGAAATAAGAATTTTAAGAAAGAGAACCCATTCGGAAGAAAATTGCTGATTGATTAGCAACAATAATTATATTCAATTGTAAAGAAAAGTAATTGTCCACTTATTTTTGAAGTTGTTTTTTGGATTTTGTTTAGAATGAGTGGATTGCGTGTCAGGAGATTTTATCAGCAAAAAGTGTCGCCTGACATTTTCTATAAATTTAATAGTGGTTTTTAGAGATTCAGAGTAAATTGAGAGACTAATTTAAATTTTTTTGTGTCAACTCTTGATTATTGAATTCGTTTTGATGATATTTCAATTGTTGATAGTAGTATGACATGAAAAAATAGAAGAAGAGAATAGTGAAATAAGAATTTCAAAAGGGAGAACTCATTCGGAAGCAAATTTCTAACTAACTATCAATAATGACTATCCTCATTGATTTAAAAAATGCAATTGTCAACTTATTTTTGAAATTGTTTTTTAGGATATATCAATAAATTTTTCTACAAAAACAGTCTTCGAAATTTTTTTTATAAATTCAATGGTGGTTTTGGAAAATGAATTTTAGGGGAGACGTCAAGAGATATTTTTCGAGGAAAATAGAATTTTCTGCAACAAATCTCTGTTGAGATTTCTTATAAATCCAGTTGTTTTAGTCACAAAAAACGAGAGATTAAATTTCTATAATGAGAGATAGAAAGATCTCGGGCATGAGTGGATTTAAGAGAAATGTCAAGTGATATTTTGTGTGAAGAATTAAATTTTTAATATTTATACTTTTAATGTTTTCTCAATTCAAAAGTTCTTAGAATATTCTAAGAGACTAAAACAAATTTTCAACTTTTCATGTGAACGCCTGACGATTGAATCTGTTTATAGAAATATTTTGAGGATGAATGAATTAAAAGGAAAAGTCGGAGGAAATTTCAAACTTTACAACTTTCAACAATTAAATTCGTTTATCGAGAATATTCGAGAGCTAGTGATCAAAACAATAACACGAGACATTTTTGTCAAGAATGAAATTTCCAGTAAACAATGCCTTCTGAAATTTTCTTATAAATTTCCTTCTTTCAGTGAAGAATTTGATGGAATAAACGATCAATTTCACGAGTTATTGCACCATTGAATTATTATTCGTCAAAACAATTTTGGCTTCATCCCAGAAATAATATTGGATGAATTGCCAAGAGTGATGATATAGGGATTGATACTCACGGTCAAGGCCACCGATGTATTTCATCGTAATCTCACAGTGTCCCCACACTGCGGAGACAATGGGGTGTAACTTTCTTCCTTTTAATCCTCTGAATGCTATACCCAGGTACTGGCCATCGACGACAAATGCTAACGTCCCTTCATCCATGTCAAGGACAACTGCGAAAACAACAAAACCATCAGATGATGTAACTCCATATTTGAGGTAAATTAGCTAGAAACTTTTGCACACATTATTTCGAGAATATCTCGTTAAAGAGTGGAGTCAGGAGAAAACGTCATAAAACCTTTTTTGTAGGAAACTGAATTTATTAAATAAAATATCTTGTGATATTTCATCCTAAATCTACTCATTATCGAGATAAAACGATTCAACAGTGATGAAACAATTTATGAATCACGAATTCAATTTAAAATACATCATCGTAGAAATTCTATTCGGAAAAAAATTATCAATTTAATTGCAATAAGAAGTGGATAATTCCTTTTTTTATAAATGAGTTTAGTTGTTGTTGCTAATAAATTATCAAATTGCTTCCGAATGGATTCTCTTTTTTTTTAATTCTTATTTCACTATTCTCTTCTCTTTTTTCATGTCATAGTACTACCATCAATTGAAATGTCATCAAAATTTTGCGTATTATTTCGTTCTGTCAAATAATTCTAAATTCAGACCCTCTCAAGACTCGAGTTCGTTTTCAGTCCGGGTTTAATCAAGGTTCAATCAAGGTTTAATCAGTGTATAGCCGGGATTTAATCAGGGTTTATTCAGGATTTATCCAGAGTTTAACCCAGGTTCTGTCAGAAGTTAGTCGGGTGCATGAATCAATATGAATAAGTATTCAACATAATAGACTGCTACCTGAGTTTAATAGAGATAGAGATTTTTATATAAAAAGCTCATGACGGTATTGTGTAACTCGATAAACAATGATGCTGTTCTCACCATTTTTCAACTTGATTAAGAAGCCATTGAAATATACTTTTCAAGCCCTGATTTCATTGCTATTACTCATAATTCTTTCAGTAATCATGAAAAAACCCATTTCCTCTTTCAAATCGCATAAACAATATTATGTAACTCAACAATCAATTGTGCGACCACCATCATTTCTGATAGAATCAAGAGGGTATTGTTATCAATTTTTTGAGTCACGACTAATTCCATTCTCATGACAATTTTTTGAGTGATCGTTGAAAAATCGATTTTTGAAAAATATCAATTTTTTCGAATCTGTATGAAAAATTCAGTAGCGAAGTGGTAAAGCGGTTAAGTCGACTTATCTCTTAGTTGAACTTTGAAGAATATCTCCGAATCTAAAGGAAATAATGAAATTTTCGTAATAACCTTTTTTCTAGAGCAAATTGAGTGCTACAAAAAAGGTTGTGACAGAAATTTAGCTATCTCCCTTAGATTCCGAGGTATTCACTAAAAACTGGCCAATAGTCAGAATCGGCTGAAACCGCTTTACCACTTCGCTACTGAATTGAATTTTAATTGGTGTCAATGAATAGAGTTGAAAAAAAATCTCAAGTTCTCTGAAGACACTGTCCATAAATTCCCAAAATTTATGACTGATGTAATTTTTAAAAGCGAAAAAAATCATATATTTACCTAAAAATTTGTCTGGTACAACAAACGTCTCATCAGGTTTAAGTAGCGCTGGATACGTAACGCCATTGTTATTCTTAGAGTCGTGATAAAGTTTATTTCTACCCAAGTCCCAGCCCCAACTGAGTGCATTATTGCCGACTAGACTCTGATAGCCAACACTGTGTAATGGTGCATCGGCGGTTGCAACACCAACAACTGCATGTGTACCACGTTGTTTCGTACTCCAATTAACTTCCCACACGTGCATACCCTTTGTGTAACCAATTTTCCCTCTTATGCAGTCTGTACTCTGGGCAACTGGATGACGGTGAAACGTCAGTTTGTCGTCTTCCTGCGAGATCAAGTCGAATTCAATCAATTCATTGATCAATAAATAATGAAAAAGCAATTCTTATTCATGAGACCTATTTCAAATGATAGCCGGGAAAATTTCCGCTGAAAAACACCCCTCATAATCCCATTTTGCCCCACTAGCAGAGATAGGCATAATCATAAATTATAAGGGTCAAGTGGATCATATTAAGGGTCACAGTAAGGGTCAAAATAAAGATTTGGTACTGGAAATTAAGACTACAAAATTAAGGATGACAAGGATTAAAATAAGGTTTATGAGGGTCAGCATAAGGGTTACGACCGTCAGAATAAGGGTCATAAGGGTCACGAGGGACAGAATAAGGGTCGCAAGGGTTATATTAAGGGTCACAAGGGACAAATTAAAGGACATGAGGGTCAAAATACAGGTCACGAAGATCAGATTAAGGGTCATGAGGGTCGCAATAATGGTCCAGAGTCAGATTAAGGGTCCAAATAAGGCTGACAAGGGTCAGATTTAGAATCTAAATAAAGGGTCACGAGGATCATATTAAGGGGCACAGTAAGGGTCATTCGGGCCAAATAAGGGCTATATGGGGATCAGAAACTAAGGATCGCAAGGGTCACAGTAAGGGTCCAAATAAAGATTTGGTATTTGGGTTACGACCGTCAGAATAAGGGTCATAAGGGTCACGAGGGTGAGATTAAGGGTGAACAAGGGACAGCATAACGGTCGCAAGGGTTATATTACGGGTCACAAGGGACAAATTGAAGGTCATGAGGGTCAAAATACAGGTCACGAAGATCAGATTAAGGGTCATGAGGGTCGCAATAATGGTCCAGGCAAGGGTCACAAGAGTCAGATTAAGGGTCCAAATAAGACTGACAAGGATCAGATTTAGAATCTAAATGAAGGGTCACGAGGATCATATTAAGGGTCACAGTAAGGGTCATGGGGGCCAAATAAGGGTTATATAGGTATCAGAAAGTAAGGGTCACAAGGGTCAGAATAACGATCATGGAGGTCACACGGGGGTCATATGTAGATCATATGGGGGTTGGCGAGCGGAATGAGCTAGTGAATAGAATAAATGACAGCAATTGAGAGTTTCAGACTAAAAATTTTATCGGATTATTATTATGTAATAATTTGAGTCTTTACCTTGACGAATATGTTGAGACTCCGGTCTTCAGCATTCCATCCATGGTGTACTTGTGCTTCTCGTGACGCCGGTGGCATATCAAGGAGTACATCGAGGCGCGCCGGCCTCGAGAAGTCCTGAGCAAGTTCACGTGGCACCACTGGTTTGTATGGTGGCATTGTACCACCACCAACTCCAACTCCTCCACCCGCTCCCGCTCCGCTTTCACGCGTCACGCTCTTCACGCCGCCTTGAAAAATTAATTGATGGTTATAATACGGGTATTTACAGTTGTTCATTATCATTCGATAAATCATGGTTAACTGACTAGATCGAACGCTGTTTCCGATCGATCTATTCCCTCCGTTACTTCATTCATGGTTACTTTGCTTCATTGAACATTCAAATGTATGAAATTTCATACAATCATATATGCACCATAAAAATGGATGATACATTGTTTCTTCATTTTTTTTCTTGAACAATAATCTTTCGTTTGAATGGAGTGTGTCAACACGCCATTTCGAGCACGCAGAAACATGTATTATTTATTACAAAAGTTTTACACTGACGATCATTTTTGTAATGCGCATAGAAATTTTATTTATTTTCCTCTGATTTTAGGTTTCATATAGAAGAACATAATCGACTTGTTGAATGCATTAATTCTTCTACATTTTTTATTTTGAGAAGAAATGAGTGCAAAGGAAAAATTATTCATTGATTATAATTAAAAAAATTGAGTTTATTCAATTTATTTAATTATACAAATTAAAATAAATTCAATAAATTAAAGTAAATGAATCGAAAATAATGAATAATCAATGATCACCTAATAATGATTGAATATTAATCATTTAAAAAATACAATCAACCGAAAAAAAGAGAAATAAAAAAGAATTGAATGCATTCCTCTATTAATTTTTAATAGTTTTTTTTAGTTGATTGAAATATTTGTCTTTTTACATTGTTTATGAGAGTTTGTTCACGACATTTGTCAACTTTATCCTCAAAAATCCAACAAAGGATTTCTTAGAGGTTTCAGATCCTGCCACAAAGGATTTCCAACGAATCGGTCAGTCCCGGGGTTTACCAACAGGATTTTCAGTTTGGTTTTCTGTCCACAGCAGCTGTGTAACTTCTGCGGTGCAAAAAAAAACCGGAGTGACCGTTCTGCTCCGTCCCTTCCCCCAAAAGACTTTTATAACTCTCGAAGAAACCGTTTCGGTTAGATTGGAACGGACGCAGACGACGTAAAAAACTGGAAGAGATAAAATGCGAAATACGATATTTGAACTTCGAAAGATCCTTAAAAAATTCAGGGGCTTAAAAAAAATCCGGAATCATCAAATCGTGAAATAAAAGCCACGGGCTATTTGAGAATAATTAATTTGAAATTTCTAAATGAGAAAAAAAATTTCAAGTGAAATAAAAAATTAAATGATCGAATTAATTTTTCATTTCTTGATGAATAAAATGAGGGGAGGGAGCATTTCAGCCGAAAACAAATCAATATGAACACCCAGTTCATATTGATTCAAATACATATGACCAAAGGAAAAAATGTTTCCATGGAAAAAATTTGAAAAAATTCATACCCCGTCAGTATTATCTAAATTAAATTTCGCAAAATACTAATATTTTTTCAAACATTTCCCTCTTATAAATAAATAGTAAAACTTGTTTGCAAAACGGTGGATTATTTTTTATGAGCTGTCAAAAAAATTCTTGATTTTTTCACATCTAATGAAAAAACATTCAGATTTTAATCTTTAATTACAATGGAAATGTTGATTTTCACGTAAGACACTGGCTTAAATCCTGATTTTCAAACATTTCTTCTTTGAAAAACCAAAACGATAATTAAATTGAGAACAAAATTAGAATCCAATCGAGTTTTCTGCAATTTATTGCAGTTTTCAATAATCTTTGGATTTACCGTAAGGGCAGAGCTACTTTAAGTGCAGGTTGAAGGACAGATTTTAGGAATAAGAACTCCGGAATTAGGCCTGAGCCAAGTCAATTTATTCACTAAAATACTGTGCATGTTGATATAACAAACAAATTAACCGATTAATTTCTCAATTCACGATAATTGTCCTGTTGAATGTCCATTCCACACGCGCTGCATTTCGGTGAAGTTACAAAGATAATTGTCCAATGAACAAACAAAAATAAAGATGATATTCGACGACACGACTATTAAATATTCGGATAAAGTTTTCAAAAGTTGAATGACTCGATGATTAACAAGATAAATTTCCCGGTGATTTTACCATGATAATTTACATAGATAATTTTCCCGCACTTGATATGTTCGACTAATGACGAATAACGGACTGAAATTCGGGAGGCGAATTGACACCTCGAAATATTTCCGTGCGCGGAATCGACTCCGTTGACGGAACGCCTATATGATTCCTATGCTCAATTCGTCTACGAAGCCACTTCCGTGCACGGAAATATTTCGAGAATAGGCCCCCAGTCTCGAAGTCGGAAAGGTCCGGAATTCATCCCGAAATCGTACAGGATTTCAAACAGCGAGTCTTTTCCAGCAGAAATTTCCCCGCCTATCAGTCGCACTAAGAATGCGGAAGGAAATGAGAGTGGAAAATGATTTTTGGAATGAAATATACTGTCACGGGTATGATTTACACACCCGGCAGGTTTTTTTTCTCACCATTCTAATATCCTTTTTTCACGTTCACAGGAACGTCGGCATCGTCCCGGAAAATTCCCAACGCCAAGCACGAGTCCCTCTACCTTTTAGTTTTCCGGACAATAAAAATCGATTTACGGGGTTTCATTAATCTGTCCGGGTGTGTAGGCGACGTACCGTAGCCCTCGGAACCGTGGCCATCGAGACAAATTTACGGTCTGCGGTGCATTACAGGGGTAAGGTGTCAGTTTTCTTTCGCGAGAGGGAGTGGAAAAACGTGGAAAAAATACCGACACCTCTCGGAATTCTTTTATATCGTCGGTATTAATCAAACTTGCACTTCCATAATTTTTTAATTGGAGAATAAAAATTTTATGTCATGGTCGTTCGATAGCTGGTGCAATTTCCACTCGAAAACGCCTGGTCATAAGCCCATTTTTCCTGATCAGTTCGTCTGTTACACTCGAAAAACCGATTTAACAACGAAATTGAATTTTTGAATGCCTCATTTCATCTTGCGCCGAATTTTCATGAAGCCCACCTAACAAACAAAAGAGAATTGAATACTATTCTATGAAACATGAATAAACGAATCATAATTGTCCAAATCTTTCAGGTCAGAGTAAAATAGAATAATTCTACTTTCTTAATATTGCGTTTACTAAGGTTTTCTTCGAACAAAGTTGATTAGAATTAATAGCTAGAATTATGAGATTATCGCACATTTTTGACGTTAAGGATAGGAGAATCTGAATGCAATGAAGTGAAAATGATGATCGATTATTTCACTTTGAACAAATAATATTAATATCCAAATACTAAATTTCTGATATGAATAAAAAGAAGCTGTGCCTCAATATTCCAGACGAAGTTTTAATTTTTAATTTGGTGCTGAAAACACGAGATGACAATATTCTAAGCACAGAATTATATTGATGAGATGAACAACAGATTAATTGAATTACCGTGTGAACTAACTAAAAATTGATAACAGTGTGGACACGCACTTTTACCAGAGTATCAACAAACATTGAATTCCAGAAATTCACACTCTAAAGTGTGTTCTAGAAGGAACTGAATTGTAATTCTGATCAAAATTTAATTCAGTGAGCGTAGGAATTAGAACATGAGCAAATCATTTATTGTAATATGAAAATTGAACAGCTGATAAATTGGGACACATGATTCCCATCGGAATTGTATTGCTTTTTGCAGTGAGAATGATGATAAACAATTATTTGAAAAAGGGAATATCGAATCTGACAGGAAAACGGGCGTAATGAAAGGGCAAAACACCCAAGTACAGAAAAATGAATGGAAATATTAAAGAAAAAGAATGATCAAAAAACGTCTACTGTGAGGCAGTAAATCAAGTCTGGTGGCTGTATATTTTATTTCACCCACCAAAATTTTCCCCGCACTTTTCATTCTCGTTTATTTATAGCCCTCTGGCGTACTAATGCCGTCCGCTGTCTGGGTATGAGAGTGATAGAGGTGAACACGTTAAATATTTGTGGTGGAAAAATGCTGAATTTCTCTCTCCCTTTCCCGCCTTTTTTTCCAGGATAAATGTAAATAGATAAATGTGGATGCCTGATCGGTGGTGGCATATTGGAAAATCCAATTTTTTTTTTCAAATCCCTCTGTGTCGCCCTTCACCCGCAAAACGGTGAATACGAAATTTTGGAAAATGGAGGAGAGTTGATATCGTGCGGATTTCGGTGGGTTCTTATCAGTGACAGGTAATTATTTTAGAATGTCTGGTGGGTCTGCCCAGGGCATTGACCTTTTAGTCGTGGCCTCAAGCCTCAACTAGACGGGGAAAAATAGAAATAAATTCTTTTTAATTCAAAAGTCGGGACGGAGAATTCAGATTGAGAACGGAGAATTCAATTTATTTCGTTGATTATGCTGAAAATTCAAATCCAGAGAAAATATATGGAATGATGTCGCTCTGAAACCAATAGTTCTCATTTCATACTCTCTTTCTAATGATCAACCGAATCATTTGATGACAATCAATCACAAGGACTCAAGCACCCCAATCATCATCCCTGACATTTGCGCAACAAAACAAACAAATAAAAACGAAAAAGTAATGCAATTTGGAAGACAAAATCTTGCAAATAATTGTGGGGGATGTCGCTTGTGGGGGATTAATGCGAGTTCTGGGGTATTTCTGAGATTTTTTGTCATAATATATGGGTTAATTGATGAAAAGGAATTTTTTTTCGCGAATTTCTTGAAAATTAACGAGTTGGGGGGGGGG